GAAATGCATAAAATGATTCAAACACTTTCTGAAAGCAGGAAGCATTAATAATTCATAAATGTTAATCTTTGAACATTAATGTTTTTCAAGAAGGTTTTCAAGTGACAGCTGAATTGATAAGTGACCCCCTCTCACTGAAGTGGGACATGACAAATTTCTTAAAACTTTAAATGATTGTCCTATTTAATTTTTTTTTCATGCTGTGAATCCTTCTGTTCATGAGTGAAATAGAATAATGCAGCAGTAAATAGTTTAATTAGCCATTTGTAGCACAAGTGTAGAACTATCTGCCTATCTGCCCTGTGAAGATAGGGAACACATTCACTATACCCATTTTGCACATGTGATGTATTCAGATGGTAATAATCAAATAAGCAGAAATGCTGGATTTGGCTCTTAATACAAATGTGTATAGTTTCCCCTTATTATTGAGATTATCACAGTTGGTGGGCCTGGGAATAGATAATAGCATATTACTGGAGGATGTCCTGTGAATCTGTTAAAACCTTCCAGTGTGCAGTCACACCTTGCCAGTTCAGTGATGTTTTAGATACAAGCAGCTCTGCCTACAGTACTTTCAGCTGCTGTTTGATTTCTGTTTAAATTGGAACTCATGCTTTTTATTGTACGTTTTTTTCACAGGGTTGTTTTTCACATTAGGATTTGAAGGATTGCAATTCATTTTGCTATAGGACATGTAAACAACCCTCAGACAGAGTAGAGCTGCAGGAGTGTGGGAGGAGAACAGCACTGCAGGTAGTTTGGGAATTGATTCATTTCAACAGCAGCAACACCAGTTTAAATACATGTCTAACAGCTACTGCAGCTTTTCTCATCAAGAACCTTGCTTCAACCCTGAATCAGTGTATTTGACATAGATGATTTTGCTGTGGGGTGAGGTAAAGAGTCCTGCTTGTCTAGGCTGTGATGAAGAACGTAGTATCACAGCAGGGCAGCTCGCTCCTTTGCATCTCTTCATTCAGAGTTATATGGAACTTTCCTGAGGCTCCATTTTTGTCTTCAAAATTGTTACAAAAAAAGCTTTAATATTCTTTGACAGGCCACAGCAATGTCTACTGTGCGTGCTTGTTGATTAGGAGATATGGGGATGAGAAACCATCCTGGAAGTATTTTCTGAAAAGAAAGTGACTGTGATGCTTTTTCCAGACAAAAGTTTGTTAAGTGTCAGCCAGAGAAGCAGCTCAGAGGCAACATGGTGGGTGCAAGTGCTGAGACTCTCCTCAGACAAGCACAGAAACAGTTCAGGGCCCTTAGGCTCAGTGTTTGCATCTATGGGCCTAACGCAAGCACAGGCTTTCCACTTACAAAGCAGAAGCCAATGATGTGAACAGTAGTCCAGTTTGGGAGGGAAAACAAGGCTTCCTAGGCTAAGAGACTGCCTGCCAAATTGCTTGGACATTCACTGGCTAGAGATTTGAGGGTGAGGAAAGAATTCAAGGACAATCAGAAAGTTTTACTGCCAGAGGCTGTAATTGAGAACTACAGTTACTATTGGTTTTCCAGTCTGTTTTGTCTACTGTCATTGCACAGCTCCCTCTCTGCTCTCAATTATTATACTGATAGTATTGATTTAATCCTTTCAGTCTTCAAAAAGCTGTTTGACTAATAATGAGATAATCCCGCTGATCCCTAGAGAGAAAGATAAACATCATTAAAAATAAACAGTCCTTCCCCAGAAAAGGCAGATTTCATAGCAGCACTGAGGGGAAGCGGAAGTTCATGCTTGAAATTGAGTCATGTCATTAGCCCATATTCTCTTTGGAAGAGTAGCTCTTGATAAGGAGAAGGAATGGAGTGAAGAAGAGGATGGCAAAGCAGCAGGTCAGGTAGAGGACAAGCCCCTTGTTATCTTCACAGTCCCAGGCAGCAGTTCTTTTGGGGCTGTTCCACTGGAAGCTCAGAGGATTTTCAGGATTTTCTTATTCTTGCCTGCATGTCTACTTTCTTCTACTTCATTGCCTTCTAGTATCTTGCCTGAAAGGAGATCATATATTTACTGCTGAGACTTGTATGTTTTTACAGGTTCTGGCATACAGATGCCTTGCTTGTGATGAAAATTTGAGATCCAGTAGTGGTGTTGGTGTTTCCTTGACAGGTTTTTTTCTCTGTGATGCTACTGCAACTTTTGGCTTCACAGCTGGATGTCAGCCTGGGTTATTATGAGGTGTTTTGTTGTTCTGTTCCTGCAGTTCTTCCCACCCTGAGTCATTTTGCTCAAGTGTGAAAAGATAAAGCACCAGAAGTAAAGAAATAGTAGATACTTATGCTCTCACCTAAAGCTCAGTTCCCTAGTGAATGAGGCTGTTTGTTACTAGTTTCTTTTTTTATATAACTGCTTTATGTTTTGACACAATTATCTCATCATCAAACCAGTTCTTTATGCTCTTTACACCGACACTGTCAAAGTCTCTACTGGCATGGTGTCAGCTACCACCAGAGGAGATATGATCAAGGGTATTTACACAGTTGAACGTGAATGTGTTTTCTGTGTGAAGAAATTAAAAGTTACGTACATGTGTATTTACTTACAGGGCACTGAAGAGAATCTCATATGATTTCACTATATGAAGACACACATTATGTAAACACAAAATCAGTTTTCCCTGGGTATACACATTCTGGCTATACACAGACCTCTGCGCTACAGAAAGTTATCCTGATTCCTGCTGTACAATTGGCGTATCTCAGCTGTCTAGCGATTCATTTGATATATCTTATGCACAGAAGAATATGAGTATTGATCTGGGCTATTAAAACATATCATACTTCTATTATTTTTTAAGCAGTAACTGCATACAAGGACAACATAATAAAGTGGAAAATGTATTCCAGTTCATAAAATTCACCAGTCTACTGCTCTGCCCCAGGGTGACTATTAACAGTGACAGTCACTCCTGTGGAAAGCTGAGGCACCGTGTACGACTAGAAATGCGTATGCAATACAAAATGTCTTCTCAATAGATCCTCACAGCAAATTCACTGAAGAATCAAATTTCCCCAGTTCCCTTCCCTTCCTTTCTTCACCTTCCACTATTAGACTTTGTCTTGAACGTGGTATGTTATAACGACACTCCAGTTATTATTATAGTAATACAATTCATCCAACCAATAGGATTTCATAGTACATATACTGGCAGTGTGAGAGTATAATTATCTGCTGGCTTTCCAGAAAACACTGGCAATATGACTAATGTTAAAAGCTCTGCTTATATCTTTCTTTCTCCCTCTCGTTTTAATATAAACCCTCTGTGGAATGTGAGGCTCCGGTAGTGACTCACTGGGCAATGAGGCAGCAGTCTCAGACACTGTAACATGATGCAAAACAAGGTCATACACTTGCTTTCATAACAGGATTATTCACTCATTCATTAAAAATTAAACACATGTGGGAACACATGATGCAAGTATTCGTGAATACTTCCTTAGAGTTTCTTAAGTCACAATGAGCTTGTGTGAGATAAAGGTACTCCAAATTAAGTCTTCTCTTCCTTATATTTATACCAGAAGTTAGTTAATTGTTCCTATTGAAGCAACGTGCTGTAATGACACACGTGGTGTTTCAGGATCATGGCCATATCTCAGTGGAGTGATGGCTGCATTTCTTTGCTTTATAAGTCTTTACAATGAGCTTATATTTAAAATAAAAACATGTATGTTCCAAAATTTGTCTATATTATTTGTCTCTTTTTACATAAAAGTTTCTGTTTTTTTATTGGTGCTGTTAAAACTTTTAATGTTTGTTTGTTTGTTTGTCTGTCTTAGGGGGCTTTTTGAGCTCTGCAGAAAAATCAGTGTGCTCCAAAGTCTTATTTCAACCTGAGAGCATTACATTACTATGGGGTATTTTTGTGGATGTCCCATGCTAGACTGCAGTTAGGAAAGGATTGGTTAGAGCTGAATGTAGTGCTATGGAATTAATTTAAAACAGCTGTAATAGGGTACACACAGAGGCCTGTCTAGTCTAGTGTATGGCTAGACTGGACAGAATCTTAAAAATAGGGTGAGCATATAGTGGCAGACTGTGACTCAGACTTGTCTTGAGTCAGAGATGATATTTTTGAGGTTAATAGCCTTCAGCAGATTCCTTATTATGTGAATTTGCTGCATCATACTAGGACTTACATTGACCTCTGACATCCACAAGAGTGCTAAGCAGGGAGTTTTGCAGCGTGGTGAAACAGCGTATGAAGAACTCTCTCCTACTGCTGATTCTGAATCTGCTGTTTGAGAACTTAGTTCGTTGCCACAAACTTCTTTTAATTAAAATAAATAAATTAAACAAAGAAACAAGCAAACAACCCAAACCAAACAAACCACAAAAACAAAAAAAAAAAAACAACATCGGGGACAGTGTTTTCCTCTTAACTTTTCAGTATTACGCTCATTTTATGGATCTCTAGCATATCTCCACTCAAACAGCAATTTTCTAGGCTAAAAACAAAATTCTGTCTGTGCAGTTGTTTCGTGTAATGAATCTGAATATGCTTTGAACATTTCTTATCGCCCTTTTCTGTAACTTCTATTTGTAAGATGTTACGATGAGACCCGGAACTACATATAATATTTATAAAGTGGTAGTGCCATGAATTTATACATGATGTAATTAGTCTTTCAATTCCTATAACTTTTGTAATAATTGCCAACTTAAGACTTTTTTCTTTCCCACATTGTTTAGAACATTATTGACCTGAATTTTATTTTTGTTGATTTAGAAATACAAGTGACATAATAAACTTAGAGGTAATGGCATCAGTTACTGTAAAATTTTGAAGATTTACCAGGTCATAGTTGAGGCCAAAACCTTGATGACCACCAACTAGAATTTAGAGTCTATTTACAGGTCAATGTTGTAGCTGATTTCTGTTCTTCACAAGCTGGGTAGCAACTCAGTTTTATAATCTAAATATGGATACATCTGCACTGTACTTGCACATCAGCAGACATACAAGATTTCTATGTCTACTTTTTTTTAATTGCAGGTATTTATGAGCCGCCATTTCTTGTATTATTGTGGTGAACCTACTCTGGATGTGAAGATTGCCTTTTGTCAGGTGTGTGTCCCTTACAGGTAAACCAAGGTACAGTATATACTTGTATTTCATTTTTGCAGTTCATGCATAATAAAAAAAAAAATTACTTTTCTATTTCTTTTGATGTTTATTTTGTAGTTTTCTCTTAATGATTTTTTATTTTGTTTTGCTAAAATGTCAGTTAATATTCAGAGATATTATTTTTTTAGGTAAAAATAATATCAGAGTTTGCAAACACAGAAAGTTGGCTGTGCTTCCAGTAAACTTAATGATATATCAGACAATAACCATATGCAGACAGATGCTTTCTCAGAAATACACAGATTAGAGCTATTTTATCTTAGCCTCTGTTTTTGTGAGGCAGAGCCTGTTACTACAGTTTTCTGCCCCTTAATCTACCTTTACTAGAAGTGAAGGGAGGGTTAATAGGAGCTGTGGGGGTTTTCTTTTTTCCAGTTGAACACTATGTGCTATGCAGATGGAGTCATGAGACTGCATTATAGCAAATTGAAGTATATTGATTTGTCCATTTTTTTGATCTCTTGGTTAGATTTAGTTAACATATATGAATCACAAATCTGTATGCATCTTTTACAGCATGAACAAAAGATGAGGACTTTTGCTCATTTATGAACATTGGTTTATGTTTGAAATCTGTCTCTTCATAATTATTTTTGTGAGATGGGAGACCAATAATCTAACTAGCTGGAGGGACATTAGGTACATTCTTTATTTTTGAGGAATAAGAACAATGCTGCATTCTTAGAAATGGAATCATGGTAAACACTTGTTTTTTCCCTTTACATTACTTATGGGGTCCAAGTACAAATCTAAAAAAGAAAGAGCTATTACTTGTATGCAAGCATTTAACACAAAACGGTAACAGCTTCTGGGAGGTTTGTTTTGTGGGTTTTTTTGCAAAAATTGCACAAAAACGGTTTTCCTCTGATTGTATGAAGAAGATTGTGCAAAATCGTTTTTTGCATAGCTCTGCCTGGGAATTTTCTTCTCACTTTTATTCAGAGAAAACCAGAGTTTTACAAAAACAATTTTATTTTACACATGCAGAGGAAAGGTATTCTCAATCACTTCCTTTCATGTTTAGTGCTACTTTAGCCTTGGCATCAATCACTGTATGACCATGTATAGCCAATGCTGTCACTGCACTCCAGATTCTTCTTTTATTGGAAACATGCCACTGAAATTATTCCTTTGCTGTTACCCTAACTAAATAAAAGGTCTTCAGAGTCACATACAGAACCAGATATATTTGCAAGGCTTTTAGGTGAGGTACTGGAATGGGTTGCCCAGGGAGGTTGTGAATGCTCCATCCCTGGCAGTGTTCAAGGCCAGGCTGGATGAAGCCTTGGATGGCATGGTTTAGTGTGAGGTGTCCCTGCCCATGGCAGGAGGGGTGGAACTAGATGATCTTAAGGTCCTTTCTAACCCTAATTATTCTATGAGTCTATATATGGTGAAATTGATAGCATTTTTGAAGATTTTTAATGCTGAATAAAAATGATTCATATTCAACTCCTACAGCAGGTACCCAAAGAGGAGTCATCCAATAAACACATATGGGAAATACTATCTTGATATTGCAGGAAACAGGAATTTATTCTTCAAGCACTTACCACACAAATACGTTTTCAAGGTCTTCAGATGGTCAGATTTATTCTCCTGAGGGTAAAAGCTGGTTCAGGCTTCACATTAATTTATTCTCTCCATAAAGATAGGCCCTGATCCAAATAACAGTTAAACACATAGTTAACATTAAGTACATGGATGATAACTTCCTCCTGCAAATGGTGGATGAGCCGACCAGGAGAGGAGCGCTGCTGGATCTCATCCTCACTAACAAGGAGGATCTGGTCGAAGCAGTAAGGGTTCAGGGCTGCCTTGGTTGCAGCGACCACGAGATGGTGGAGTTCAGGATCTTGTGTGATAGGACTAGTAGAATACCAAGTAGAATTGCAACCCTGGACTTTAGCAGGGCAAACTTTGGCCTTTTCAAGCAATTGCTAGGGGAAATCCCATGGGCAAGGCTGCTTGAAGGTAAAGGGGCCCAAGATAGTTGGTTGACATTCAAGGATTGCTTTTTCCGAGCTCAAGATCGGAGCATCCCGACACGTAGGAAGTCAAGGAAGAGGGCCAGGAGACCTGCGTGGCTAAATAGGGAATTGCTGGGTATGCTCAAGTGGAAGAGGAGAGTTTACAGGTCATGGAAGGAGGGGCTGGCCACTTGGGAGGAATATAAGGCTGCTGCTAGAGGATGTAGGAAGACAGCTAGGAGGACTAAAGCATCCTTAGAATTAAACCTGGCGAGAAGGGTCAAGGACAGCAAAAAGAGCTTTTTCAAATACATGGCAGACAAAACTAACACCAGAGGCAATGTAGGCCCACTGATGAACGGGATGGGTGCCCTGGTGACAGAAGATACAGAGATGGCAGAGTTACTGAATGCCTTCTTTGTCTCTGTCTACTCTGCTGCAGGCAGTCCTGAAGAGCCCTGTACCCCTGAGACCTTAGATGAAGTCAGGTCAACGGAGCGGTTTGCCTTAGTCGATGAGGAATGCGTTAGAGACCAGTTGAGCAATCTGGACATCCATAAATCCATGGGTCCAGATGGGATGCACCCGCGGGTGCTGAGGGAACTGGCGGAAGTCATTGCTAGACCACTCTCCATCATCTTTACCAAGTCTTGGGAAACGGGAGAGGTGCCTGAGGACTGGAGGAAAGCAAATGTCACTCCAGTCTTCAAAAAGGGCAAGGAGGACGCGGGTAACTATAGACCGGTCAGCCTCACCTCCATCCCTGGGAAAGTGATGGAACACCTTATCCTTGGTGCCATCTTAAGGCATATCAAGGATAAGAAGGTTATGAGGGGCAGTCAACATGGCTTCACCAGGGGGAAATCATGTTTGACCAATCTCTTAGCCTTTTATGAGGAAATAACACGGTGGATGGATGATGGCAGAGCGGTGGATGTGGTCTACCTTGACTTCAGCAAAGCATTTGACACAGTCTCCCACAGCATCCTCACAGCTAAATTGAGGAAGTGTGGACTGGATGATCAGGTAGTGAGGTGGACTGCGAACTGGCTGAAGGAGAGAAGCCAGAGAGTTGTAGTCTACGGGGCTGAGTCTAGTTGGAGGCCTGTAACTAGTGGAGTGCCTCAAGGGTCAGTACTGGGACCAGTATTATTTAATATATTTATCAATGATTTAGATGAGGGAATTGAGTGTACTATCAGCAAGTTTGCTGATGACACTAAGCTGGGAGGAGTGGCTGACACGCCAGAAGGCTGTGCTGCCATGCAGCGAGACCTGGACAGACTGGAGAATTGGGCAGGGAATAACTTGATGAAATATAACAAGGGAAAGTGTAGAGTCCTGCATCTGGGCAGGAACAACCCCAGGTTCCAGTATAGGTTGGGGAACGACCTGTTAGAGAGCAGTGTAGGGGAGAGGGACCTGGGGGTCCTAGTGGACGACAGGATGACCATGGGCCAACACTGTGCCCTTGTGGCTAAGAAGGCCAATGGCATCCTGGGGTGTATTAGAAGGGGGGTGGTTAGTAGGTCGAGAGAGGTCCTCCTTCCCCTCTACTCTGCCCTGGTGAGACCCCATCTGGAATATTGTGTCCAGTTCTGGGCCCCTCAGTTCAAGAAGGACAGGGACCTGCTGGAGAGAGTCCAGCGAAGGGCAACAAAGATGATTAGGGGAGTGGAGCATCTCCCTTATGAGGAAAGACTGAGGGAGCTGGGTCTCTATAGTTTGGAGAAGAGGAGACTGAGGGGTGATCTTATAAGTGTCTATAAATATATAAAGGGGGAGTGTCACGAGGATGGAGCCAGGCTCTACTCAGTGGCAAACAATGATAGGACAAGGGGTAATGGGTACAAACTGGAACACAAGAGGTTCCACTTAAACTTGAGAAGAAACTTCTTCTCAGTGAGGGTGACGGAACACTGGAACAGGCTGCCCAGGGAGGTTGTGGAGTCTCCTTCCCTGGAGACATTCAAAACCCGCTTGGACACATTCCTGTGTAACACTATCTAGGTGTTCCTGCTCCTTCAGGGGGATTGGACTAGATGATCTTTCGAGGTCCCTTCCAATCTCTAGCATACTGTGATACTGTGTGATACAAGAACAGTCTCTAAATTTGTGTTTTGCTTGAGTAAGACCTTTGCTGTCATGGATGCTGTTCATTTGTGTTGCATAGCGTAAGATGTGGGTTATATCTGCATGCTGGTAATACTTGATCCAAACATCCAGGTCTGTATTTAGAGGCTATTCAACTACTTAGAAACTATTTAGTCTCCAGCTAATAATATTGTTTATTCCATGCTTATTCAGAATGTCACGAATGCCCTGTGATTTACTAGCACTTCTGCTCCAAGTGTAAATTTCATTTATATCTTTAAGCAATTTTAATCTGCTGAATCACCAATTCTAAGAATTTCAGGAACTACTGTTAACAAAAAATGAAGATGCAGCAAGAGGTAGATACTTCCATTTAAATCTTGAGGTGTCTGTAGCCAGCAAGGATCCCAGCAGTATCTGGACAAGAGAGCACAAGAATGTAGTTTCCAGTGAACATAATTCAACTCAGTAAGACTTTCAAGTGGTTCACCAAACGCAAAAAAAAAATTATTTCTACTATATAAATATGCAACAGATTATCAGAAAAAGTCAGTGTGGTGTAGTTGACTGTCCTGTTGACCTGTTAAGATGAGAGCCTCTAGTGATGGTGTACTAGAATAAACAATCCAATAGATTATTGCAATTTTGAGACTCATGTCTACCACATTGAAGTCCTGCTCCCATTTGGAATTTGTGCTTACTGTAGGCTTTCTAAAAAATATAGACTTGGGCTGAAGTGTCTTTTATAAAGGTATATGTCCTGGGTTCAGCAGTAGCAGTCATGTTTCTCCTTCTTGGTAGCTGGTGCAGTGCAGTGTTTTGACTTTCGGCCTGGGAACAGAACTGATAGCGATGTTTTGGTTTGGCCAAGGACTTTGTGAGCCTCATGCTCTGCCAGGGAGG